TAGAATCCACTCAATGTCTAGAAAACAAAACATTTGTTCTCTGACTAATGTGTGTACTTGAATCTCACTCAGCAAAACTTGTTTGATTTACTCTATATCATATGAGAAACCAAGGGGGTAGGATAGGGAAATATAGATAGACATATGCAAAACCATCATAACTTTTTTTTTACTGGTCGTGGAGTTTGAACTCAGGGCCTCGGTGCTGTTCTGAGCTCTTTTGCTACCACTTTGAGTGGTTAATTTGAGACAGAAGTCTCATGGGAACTTTTCTGCCTGGACCTTTTCTGCCACGATCCTCAGATCTCAACCTCCTGAGTAGTTAGAATTGCAGGTGTAAGCCACTGGTGCCACAATTTCCATCATTATTTTTAAGAAAATTCTAAAAATGGTCATTTCCTACTGACGGTGTCAACAGTGCCTTGTCTTCTTAGCTGTAAAAATTATTGTATGTGCTATACTTTCATGAAATTACTTTTATGATCTCCTTGGATCTGGCCCTTTATGTTAATTATTTTTGAAATACCAAGGTTGACCAGAGTTTGGATGTGTATTTTATATGGGCTGTGGAGTTGCATGAACTTCATAGAGAACATGAATGTCTTAGCCACAATCATTTCCATATAGTGGACAGCCTAAGCTTTCTTGAAATGGGCTGTATATACTTCTCTTTCTTTTTACCCAGTCTCTTTCCAATTCATAGCCACATATGGATGGCTGTTTGACCTGTAGTGAAATATACACTCTACTTATTCTAATTTTAAATGTAAATATACACTCTACTCATTCTAATTTTAAATGTGAAAAGCAGAACAAAATAACTAGTTTTATTCCCAATCTCAGATAACTTGTTTAAAAAAAAACTCTAACAATGCTTGATACGAAATGCACTCATTACCTTGCCCATGAAATTGTAACCCCTCTCTATGGTATTTTCACAATAGAAAGAAAAGAAAAGAAAAAGAAAACTCTACTTTTGCCCATTAGGAAAACAAATCCTAAATCTATGAAGAGACTTTAGGTTATACTCCTGGAAGGATGTGTTTACTGAAGTGTTGTATTTCTTCCCACCCTCCGGAAGCCACTCTACCCTGTGTCCTATGAAATCAGATGCCCAGAAAAGTCACCATTCTTTGGCTTTTCATGCAGCATTTATTGGTTTAGCCTTGGAATTGGATTGGATCTTAGGAAAAGAACAAGACTATTCTGAATTGAAGGAGTTTTCACTTCAGAAGAGGAAGCAGGATTATATATGTATATATGTAAATGAAATCTTTAGAAATTGAGCTCTTTAAAAATTGTAACTATGGCCACAAAACACATATTTCAGTTCCAATGAATAATATTAGTAAAATGTGTTCAGGAGTTGTCAGTAGAGGAATGAGATAGCAAAGAGACTAAGAAAGAGAAAAAGGCAGACAAGCACTGGTGGCTTGCACCTGTAATGCTAGCTTCTCAGGAGGGTGAGATCTAAGAACTGCAGTTCAAAGCCAGCCTGGGAAGGAAAGTCCATGAGACTCTTATTTCCAATTATCCACCCAAAAACCAGAAATGGATCTGTGGCTCAAAGTGGTAGAACACTAGTCTGGAGGACAAAAGCTCAGGTCTTGAATTCAAGCCCCAGTACTGGTATACACACACACACACACACACACACACACACACACACACACACACACACACACACCACAGAGAGAGAGAGAAAGGGAGACAGACAGAGAGAGGGAAGGAGAGGGAGAGGGAGAGAGGGAGAGGGAGAGAGACAGAAAGATAAAAAGTCCTAACGAACATTTTCTGTGTATAAGACATAGGCCTTGCATTTTTGTTATAGCAACTCTACATTAATATCAGTTTCTACTTTACAAGTATATAAGTTGAGACTCAAAAAGAATAAATCACCCAGATTTACATAGCTAGTCAATGACGTATCCAGAATTTGAAGCCAGTCCAGTTTAAATCTAAGAACATACTCAAGACTCCAGATTGTAAATGAGCTGAGCTGGGCTTTTACTAGTGGGTGAAGGCAAAAAAAGATAATGTGGGGAGGGGTTGGGGAAAGGGGGACAAGGAACCAGAGAACATGCAGAAAAGCACAAGCCAATCCAAACGTAATGTACTAAAATCAACATGGTTCCAGTGATTAATTTACACATGAAAATAGTGGGCAAAGATAGAAAATAGCATCGTGGCCTTCACTTTTAAGTCAGTGGCTTTAACTTTTTTTTAAGCCAATAAAAGCTTCTCATGGAGAAATGTCAAGGTAGACATGGCATGCTGGGGAGGTTTGTCAGGTGTGATGTATTGCTTGTGGTAAATACAAGGGGTAGATGCCATTCAGAGGAAAGCTAAATCATCTAAACAAAGCACTTCTTTTCAAAATCATTTGGCTATCTGTGAATGAAGGCTTTTAAAAGCATAAAAAATAGTTAAATTAGTTATATCAAAATGACTATACAGGAAGTTCTTTGCTTTAACTTCATGTAGCTCCTCAAAAAAAGTTAGAATGGGAACTGATTCCTCAACTAGATAGTGAATTTTGATCTTGTGAATCTCAGTAAATGTCCAGTTCTCTACATGGTTTCTCTAACTGGAAGCCTTGGTGCTATTCTGGATTTCATTTAGGTTCTACATCCAATTTGTCTCAGAACCCTATTAACTCTACCATTAACCTTCAAAGCTGACTATTCTCTGTGATGGCTGCCAGTCCAGTCTTGGTTGCCATTAATACTCTTTCTTCCCACTATTTCCAAGTATCTTCTACCTACTCTTCAGAAACTAAAGCAAGAAAACTACAACTAGAGCAAAATTGCCAGTGATTCACACCTGTAATCCTAGCTACTCAGGAGATCTGAAGAACATGGTTCAAAGTTATCCTGGATAATAAAAAAGAATTTTAAAAATAAAAAAGTAAAAAGAATTAAGAAAATAAAAAATAGAAATAAAAAAAACTAGCCTGGGGAAGGAACAGCCATTCGAGATTCTAATCTCCAATTAACCACCAAAAACTATGTATTGGAGTTATGGCTTGAGTGGTAGAGTACAAGCCTTAGGTATAAAAAACACAGGGGCAGCTCCCAGGCCCTTAGTTCAAGTGCCAGGACCAGCATGAGCGCATGCACACACACACACACACACACACACACACACACACACACACACACCTACAAGTACATAATTTACACAATTGAAATGCCCCAGTGGCTTCTCACCACACATAGAGTAAAATCTCAAGTCTTAATCCTAGTCCAAACCCTTCAGGATCTGACTTCCATCTGGGAATTGCTGAATCCTACTCCTTTTTAAACATTTTTAACACTGATTTCTATTAGGTCTGATAATTACTCTTTTGCTTATTTTTCTTCCTAGCTCTAATTCTGTATTTTTATTCAAAAATGATTGAAAGCTTGACTCATGACTATTATTCCAGCTACTCGGGAGGTAGACATAGGTAGGGAGATTTCAATTTGAGGCCAGGGAAGAATAACTATAGCACAAAACCTTACCTGAAAATATGACTAAACCAAAAAGGACTAAGGGTGTGGCTTAAGTGATAAAGAGCCCATCCTAGCTGGCATGAGGCTCTAAGTTCAAATCTTACTACCACAAAAAAAGACAAATATTTCCTATGCAAGATTCAACAGCTAGTGTTAAAGGATGCCCAATTGGGGGATAAAGCTACAAAGAAATGCAGGAAATGATCATTATAGAAGTTACCAACCTATCATAGTTACCATTACTTTGGAAATAAGAGATTTCTCTTGGACCAGGGCATCTTGATAAAATAAAAACTGAAACTTCAAGGGTAAAACTAAAAATTCAAAGCACTTTCCTAAGAGTAGGAATAAGACAAATATGTTAGCTTTTTCCATCACTATTGAACATTGTCTTCAAATAAGGGTCAGCCAGAGAAATTCACAAGAAATAGGAATGAAATCTAAATGAGAAAGAAAAAATAAATCTCTCTACTCCCAAATAGGATGATTTTATGTATTAAAAACTCAATAGAATCGAGTGAGCAAAAAATGAATCTAGCAAAGTTGCAGTACTAGGAGACAAAAATTAGTTGTTTATATAGGCCAGCAAGAACAATATGAAAAGGAAATTAAGTCAACAAATTTTGTTTACCACAACATGCAGAAGAGTAAATATCTGGGAATAAATTTGATGGTTAAAAAATAATACAGTGAAAATTATAAAATCTTGCAAATTAAAAGTAATAAATGAATAAGTAAATAAGCAAGTAAAAGTGCAACTATGTGCTTGAGTTAGGCGATATATTGTTAAGATACCAATACTCCCCAATGCAGTTTACAGATTCAGTGCAAAATTATGATAACATTTTTCCTTAGAAATACAAAGACTTTTCCTCAAATTCATATAAAATTGTGACTGGTTCCAAGCAGACAAAATTCATCTATGGTAATCAGAATAGTATGCTACTGGCATAAGGCTGGACACTGAAGAACAGTAGAATTGTTGGATATCTAGATATAAACCCAGATATTATGGACAACTGTTGCTCAACAAAAATCCCAAGACTATACAATATAGAAAGAAGAGTCTCTTCAACAAAGAAAGATGGGATAACTGAGTATTCTCATGCAAAGAAATGAAACTAGACCCCCATCTTATAAACATACAAAATTAAATTAAAATTAAAATATGGCATGTGAATTTTGCCCCAATAACTCATATCAACGCATTAAGCCCTACTAAAAAAAGATAATCTACACCACACAGACTTCTTTAATAACTGTAGGCTAGATCAGTATGTGAATGCATTATTTTATGTATCAAGAGAGAAAACGAAACACTGTTATTTCCGAAATATTCACTTTAGACAAAAAAAAAACTAAGACTCTTCCTGGCTTCTCATCCAAATGTTAATAACTTCATAAAATTAAAAGTTCCCATCTTCTGCCACATATTAAATTCTTTCTAGCCAATTGCCTCTGACTTTGTGACAACCTGTTTATACATGTACTTCTTGTCTTTTACAGACACACTTGGCAAGTTCAAGACAAGATAGATGCAAACAATGTGGCCTACACCACTGGGAAGCTCAGTTTCCACACTGATTATCCAGCCCTCCATCACCCACCTGGGGTAAGGTGAGCTTCAGCATACTTTCCACAGGGCAGGCCAAACACCAATAACCTCCTTCTTTTGAGCCTAGAAGATGAAATTTGGCCAACTGATTTATCTTATGTAAAGCTTCTTTCTTGAAACACAACACTCCAAAAAATTGTCAGTTCTTAAATTGTGAATTCCTTTACACTTCTAATAGGACATTTTCATGCATCTTTTAAAAATTGTTTCTTTATGGAAATAAGTCTTAGGATCTTTTGCTGCATTGTAGCTGATTTTAAAACAGAACTGCATCTAGAAGTCTTTTGTAAAAATTTTACTCCGAGAGCTAAAAGAGAAATTGAAATCTGGGAACATAATGTGAAGTTTCACCCCATAGTTACATGGCCATTTTGCTGCATAACAAAAACCCTAGATTCAGGAACTGAGGAAGTAAAAACCTCATAGGAAAATCTGCAAGAATGTATTACAAAAGCTACAAACATTGGGAAGAGAATGACCATGCTATCGTTGGAAAACATGTCTTGTCCTAGGAAAAGATGCTCTATGTAGAGCAAAAAAATTCCTTAGAGCCTGGCACTGGTGGCTCAAACTTGTAATACTAGCTACTCAGGAGGCTGAGATCTGAGGACGGTGGGTTGGAAGCCAGTCTGGGTAGAAAAGTCCATGAGACTCTTATCTCCAATAAACTACCTAGAAAATGCTGGAAGTGGTGCTGTGACTCAAGTGGTACAGCACTAGCCTTGGGCACACAAAGGCTCAGGGACAGCACCCAGGCCCTGATTCAAGGCCCCAGGACCAGAAAAAAAGTCCTGAGTACACTTTCTGATGGGACATTCTCCTCCATCTCTAAAAATTTCTCCTTTTCCTAAACCAAATACAATTTTGCAAAACCATCCCTTTACCAAAACAAAAACAAAAAAAATCTATAACCAATAGTTAGAAGACCATCTTTTAAGAGATTTTTTGGCTCTATGTTTTGAGCTAAATTTAACTAAATGAAACAATCACATACAAATTTGCATCTTTACACATAGAGCTCCCCTACGACCCAGAAGTCCCACTTTGGGGCATTTACCAAAACTATCACAAAAAAGACCATATTAAAGCTACCAGCACAACTATGTTTATTGAAGCATTATTTACCACAGATACCCTTGAGTAGATGAATGGATCAAGAAGATGTGATACACACACACACACACACACACACACACACACACACACACGCACACACAAACATGCATTCACACACACAATTGAATTCTATGCCTCCATCAGAAAGCATGACACTGCCCCATTTGTTAAGAAATGGAAAGACTTGGAAAAAATTGTATTAAGTGAAGTAAGCCAGGCCCAAAGAAACATAGGTCCCATGGTTTCCCTTATTTGCAATAACTAGTATACATCTAGGATAATCTTACCAGACAAGTAGAAAATGTCAAAAGCTATGTACAAATGACCATATAAGATAATGCTAAGCAAAATGAACCCCAAGATAGGGACACAAGAGGTTTTTTTCTTTGTGGCTGTTGTTTTTAATGTACTATGTGATTTTTTTTTCTTTTGTATATTCTTCCCCATGGTATAACCCCTGTTGTCACTGTATTTGATTCAGGTGCCCTTCATCTTGTATATACATTTTTCTAATTTGGGGAGGGGAAGGGAAATAACAAAATGCTGAAACAAGTACACAGATTGAACCAATGTAACAATGAGATGTACAAGACACTATGTTGAAAAGGAACTTTACAACTTCCTGTGGGGCGGGGGCGAGTAAAGGGGATAGGGAAGAGTTGGGGAGGTAGGAAGGGAAGGGATGGTAGATAAAAATCAAAGGAGGGGTAACAATGCTTGACAGGAAATGTACTCATTACCTTGCTCATGTAACTGTACCCCCTCTGTACAGTATCTTTACAATAATATATATAATATTAAAGACAAATTGGGGCAATTCTCATGTTAAAGAAAGAGAAAGGGGCCAAAATAAAAATGAATCTTTTTTAATCATCATCTTGACTGAACATGTTTACTTTGTGCTACGTGGTTAATCATTGTTCTTGCCAGTATTAGCTAAGTCTAGTATTTGACTTCACATGTTTTAAATTATTCTGTTGAGTGTAAAACACCACATGATTTCTTTGAACTAATTGATGACAGAAAAATGACTCCTATAGTCACCTTTTTGGATGATAGTCAAGAGAGAATACATACAAGTGTGATTTATTCTAAATGTGGTTCAGTTATTTTCTAAAACCCTAATTTTAAAAGCCAAACTCATCAAGTCAGTTCAAAAAAATGCATGGAGAGATTGGATAGAATAAAATGAAGGAGATCAGAAAACTAAAGGTCCTATTTGAATTTTTAATTATCTTCTTTGTATAAGTTTACATTTAGTTATGAAGTTAAAATTGAAAGCCAAGAGAAAGATGACAATATGACTTCATAAATATTTCTGACATGTAATATCATGTTAGATATTTTTATAGCATTTTATGATTTTCAAAGTATTTTTGCCTGTATTACTTTACATGATTTCCTTTAATATTTCGTAAAGGTAGACAGGAATGATCATGTCCTGATTGATGGAAAACTTATACTTCATCCTAAGCCTCTGACTAGTTTTTCCACACATCATAATGGTCCTGAACTTGGATTGCTATTTTCATAATTAACATAATATGATAAATTATTCATAAACATTGCCATACTTTACAAAGTCTTCAAAGTCAGGAATAGAATCATGTGTCTCTATATCTTAAAACTTAATACAATACCTTGTACATTATATAGACATAGTTTATGCTATAAAGAAATAAAGATATACAACAACATTTTACCTGTCTCCATCAGCAGAGGAAACACCAAAAACTAAATGCCTTGATAGATTTTTTTAACTAACAGAGTCCTAAAATCCTTCAACTCCATTAGAAGAATAAAATAAAAGCACACATTTGTACTGTTGTTCGAGATTCCACTCTGAACTATTCAAATTATTTCAAGCTTTTCTGACAAACAGAAGAGTCTATATTGTTCACACTATAGATGAAATTATCTGGAAAATGAGTTACCCTTTAATTCAATGAATTTAGTTTAAATTTAAGATTAAATTAAATGTAAAATCAAATTTGTTAGTCACACCAGTTATATATCAAATGTACCAACTATGTATTAAGTGCACCATGGCTAAGGGAAGCTAGTGATTACTGTATTTGTCATCACTGCAGGAAGTTCTGATGGCCAGCACTGGGGTAGCCCACCCAGGGAGCAAAGCCACACACATGAGTATTTGTTCCATGCATACTGACTCGGGCATTTAAAGATATTTGCTGCTTCCATTCTATAAGAATTCAATCAGACAATGACTGCTTTTAGCTTATGCCGCTCAGTAAAAATGAAGTTTGTACTACTGAATGGTATGTTTGCTTCTACAGCTCGATGTTCTAAATCATCCATACCAAAACCCATGAAAAACTGTCACTCAAAATAATTTTAAATTATACTCTGTTTTGCTTTCCAAGATGATATAATGTGTAACATTTTCTCCTGAAATTCAGAAAAGTTAATTAACATTGACTCACTGTTGGTTTCCCATTTCCAGTATTTCTTTGATTAATTCATCCCTCCTAGCCCTACCCTACCCCATTTCCTTCTTTTCCTTACACCTGGACTAGCACATTAAACTCTCAAGTCTGGCCTGTTTCCCCTCAAATACAGTGAAGCCACTGAACTAAATACTAAGCTAAATACTAAAATACAGTTCAGTGAAACCAGTATACTAATATTCTTCAACTCAGCCTGACTAGGTTACTTCATAGTGATTCCCCTCCATGTAGAATAAAAAGTTTAAGAATCCATCTGACATTTCAGTCTCTCTAGGAAGAAGTCCCAATAACCCTTCCAAACTAATCTACTCCTATTTGTGACTCACTGCTACATAGCCAAACTTTTTGTTACTTTTTTGTAAATTGGCTATGTTTTCAGACCTATCAGCATTGTCACCTACTTGCAAGCTCACTCTCTTCCATCTGTCCTAAACACCCTCCATCATCCTTTGTCTGTTTATACACAGCTGCCCCTGTTGGCTTCCCTGACTACTTTCTCATCAAGTGCTCATTCTTTGCAACCCTTCTGACTTGTGCCGTTTGTTTAGTAGTAAACACTATAATGCCTCTTCTATGTCTTCAACTGAAACAGGTTTGAACCTTGTAGAATGAATTATTTTTTAAGTCCATTTATAATATCCCAGATCCAAAAGAGACTCCAAAGGGATACAGGTGGACCCATTGCAACAATGAGAAAAATGAACTTTACAACTTTGGTGTGCAGGGAGGGGGGGGGAGCGGGGAGGATTGGGAGGGGGGGCGGGGGAGGACAGGAAGGGATGGGAAGGGGAAACAAAGGAGGAGGCTACAATGCTTGATAAGAAATGTACTCATTATCTTGCCCATGTAATTGTAACTCCTCTGTACAGAATTTTCACAATAAAAAAATAAAAATTAAAAACAAAAGAGACTCCAAGACATCCAGTTAAAGGAACTAGAAACTTTATTACATTGACACGGGGTCTGCTTCCTACTACTCGGATAGTAGGAGAATGGCCTTGAGCTCAGGGTAGGCTGGGTTTTTATAGGGGTAGGTTACACAGAGTTACATAGATGAGCCATGCAAAGCAGCCTTGGCACATTTTCATTGGTTATGGTTATATGACCTTTAAACTCATTTGTTCTTTACAGTAAATAGCCTATGTAATAATTTGCAATAGTCCACCCATAGTGAGACCATTTGGTGGTGGTCTTCAATTGGAGGACAATGTTGATATCACCTGTGGGCTTAAGGCCTTGCTACTGAAGGAAGTCAGCAAGGTTACAGAAGCAAAAACACAGCATTGAGTCACAGGAGCCTAGGCAAAACATAATCTTGACTTGGCCAGAATGACGATACTATCACTGTTATTGACACTATTACAGAGATGAGTTTTATTATAAGCTCCTGACTAATACAGCAACTCAGTGCAGCTGGTGATAAGCCTCAAGGTTGACAGTAGCCTTCTGCAAAGTTGCCAACTTGGTAAACTTGAGTGAGGGAGAGATGTTCTTTTGCTTTTGAGCAAGGATGGAAAAGGGACAAAGGCTGACCTTTGTCTGGGGTTTTTCTTTACCAAGAGGTTTTGCCCTTTATCAATAATTTTGTTCTGTTTTCTGATTTCACATTTTTGTTCTCATGGATATCCTTCTTTTTCCAGTGAAAAGAGGGCTCACTGGGGGGGAGGGGGTAACTTTCCAACAGCAGGAGGGGCTGAGGCCAGACCATAGGAAGACCTTTCTGCCAGTGAGAAGCAACTCAGATCTCACACATTCCTACTTTTGGAATCAATAACAAAATAACCAAAAGAGAAACCAGTAAGTGCTAGTATTTTTAAATCAATTTCTCCATTTTCTCCATTTCTTCTTCCAGGTTCAGCTTCTGCACTGCATAAAACAAACAGTCACAGGAGGTGATTCTGAAATTGTCGATGGTTTTCACGTGTGTCAAAAGCTCAAAGAAAAAAATCCTCAGGCATTCCAGATTCTGTCTTCTACCTATGTAGACTTTACAGACATTGGAGTGGATTACTGTGATTTTTCTGTACAATCTAAACACAAAATCATAGAGTAAGTACTCTAGATATTTTCCATAGTAGTAAAACAATTAACAGCAAAATTTTTATTACCTTATCTTGAGGTTCAGTGTTTTTTTTTCTTTCTTGCTATTGTTTCTAACATATTTGTAAGGTACCATATAATTTTTTTTTGCTTTGTATGTCCCTCCCCCATGGTATACTCCTGTTTTCAGTGTATTTGATGTTGATATAATTTGGGGAGGGGAAGGGATACAGGTGGACCCATTGCAACAATGAGATGTACAAGATGCTATGTTGAAAAATGAACTTGACAATTTAGGCAGGGGAGGGAGGAGGATGGAGAAGGGGTGGGGAGTGTAGTTTTGGAGATGGGAGAGAAGAGATGGTAGGGGAAAAGCAAAAGAGGAGGCAACAATGCTTGATAAGAAATGTACTCATTACCTTGCTCATGTAACTGTAACCCCTCTGTACAGTATTTTCACAATAAAATACTTATTTTAAAAAAACTTTTATTACCCTAAATTTTAACCAACAGAAATATCCTGTGTACTCCATAGTTTTACTTTTTACTTTAGAAAAAAACAGGAAAAAGTATATTCACCCTAATCAAAACTCTTAAGTCTGTTCTTAATATTTAAAGAAAAAAATAACTTCATGTAAACTTTGTTTTTAAAACCCTATTGGTTATAAGTTCACCCAATGAATTCAAATCCTTTCTATCCAGCTGTTTGTTCCCTTAGTCAATGACTTGCCCTTGCTGATCCACAGCTTGTTTTTTCAGGATAAGTTTTAATAACTCCTTTTTACAATTTAAATAGTAATATAGAGTTAATCTATGAATGCCCCTACCACAGTGCTAGGCTTAGAAAATTCCTTTCTATCATATCCATAAACATCAATTGTTTACTGGTGATAGATTGCTATTTCAGTTCTAAGTTTCTAGAAACCAACACAAAAGGACAACAGAATCAGTTCCAAGATCTAAGATGCTCCTAAAATCTGAAATAAATTTCTCTTTGGATCCTCATAAAACAAGATGCAGTAGGCAAGACCGGTATTTCCACAACAAATTCAAGTCCCATAAAACATTGCACCACTTAGTGAGACATGCTATTTCAACTAGTAAGAAATATTTTCAACAACAGCTCTGTAGGAAAATATCTGTTTTATTTTTAAATATTTGTCTTTTACACATTACGAACAGCTACATGCATAGCCAGTTATTTACATCTCATAGCTTTTCCCTCTTCCTCAATATGAAAACGTGCATTCGACTTTTCATTTTATTGTCTTGTTATGTACAGGAATTTCCTGCTTGCTAAGATACAATTTGGGACTTAAGAGAGTGGTAGGGTACATACCTAACGTGTGAAAAGGCCTGGGTTCAATTTCTAACACCATCAAAGAAGAAGGAAGGAAGGAAGGAAACCAACTTGTCTTTTGTTTTCTAAGAGAGTAAAGACAAGGTAATAAGAAAGAGAATGTATTACACTGTTACATTAAAAATATTCAGTTTTTTTCTATCTGAAGTGTGTGTGTTACTGGAAATTGAACCCTGGGCCTGGAAAGCAAGCATTCTTTCACTTTAGACCACTTGTTTGTATTTTGTTTCTACAATCAGTTCTACTAATGGCCAAAAAAAACCCAAAAAACCCAAAAACATTACTTAAGACCTTGTAGATGAAATGCTTTCTAAAGCAATTGACCTATGAACTTGTAACATAAAAAGGATTTTACTATAAAAAACCCAGAATGAATTTTACTAACAACACCTTTTTAACTTGAAACTTTCTGAGACACCTGTTTTAAGTTAAGTTGAATCCTCCTGACATGTAGGAAGTTTTCAAAAAACATATGATGAATGGAAGGGTGAAAATTAACATATTATACCACAGGTAACCATATGATATGATGTCCACATGTTTTGATTCTTGAATTACCAGAATAAGATGTATCTTCCAAGGAACCTTAAACCCTTACAAATACAGATGAATATTTTGGAAAGTGCGTATTAACTATTTCTCTTAAATAAAACAGGTTAGATGATAAAGGCCAAGTGATTCGCATCAACTTCAATAATGCAACTAGAGACACAATATTTGATGTGCCTGTTGAAAGAATCCAGCCCTTTTATGCTGCTCTAAAGGAGTTTGTTGACCTTATGAACAGCAAAGAATACAAGTTTACCTTCAAGATGAATCCAGGTGAGTGAAGGCATTTTCTCACACAAGTGGAAAGGATGAGCTTATTTGTTTGTTATTTTTTTTCTTTCAATCTTTCCCATCTGGAATCTTGGTCAGTTGTTAATTTGCCTAAATAACAGATTCCTGACCCCCCGTCTCTGCTCAGTTGACTCCCCAGACTTGAGATTAATCCCTTGAGATTATTCCCAAAGAAGTTCATAAGCATTCCAAAATATAAGATCCTCCAACCTGAATAACAAATACTTGAAATAGAAGCGTAGGCCACATGAAATCCTCTGTTTGATGCTAAGACTCAGGTTTTGTGTATTCTATCTTGATAGCCCTATCAAAACAAACTGCGAGTTGTATTTAATTCTCTTAATCAGCTGAACAAAATTTTTCTTAGTTCTCCCACTAAAATATGTAATATTTATTCATAAAATTTGCTGGCAAAGATAGTAATATTCCAAATAAAGTAGAAGTTGTCATATTCTAGCTACTTGCTAAACCATCTCTACTAGCTGAAGTACCATGAAACTTAGGCCTTGATAATTTTTAATTTATTTTTATAATGGACAAATAAAATTATTTATATTTCAGGATAGGAAGGTGGCTCGGTGGTAGAGTGCTTGCCTCACATGCATGAAGCTCTGGCTGGGTTCAATTCCTCAGTACCACATAAACAGAAAAAGCCAGAAGTGGTGCTATGGTTCAAGTGGTAGAGTGCTAGCCTTGAGCAGAAGGAGCTCAGGGAACAGTGTCCAGGCCCCGAGTTCAAGCCTCAGGACTGGCAAAAGAAAATTATGCATATTTAACATATACATCCTGTTTTGACATATGCATATATTATGAAATAGTTAAATTAAGCTAATTAATGTGTGAATTTTTAAAATAATTACCAATTTTATAGTGGGAACATATAAAATCTACCTTTTATCAACTTTCCAGAATGTAGTACATTGTTATATATATATACTCACCATATTATAAAATAGATCTCTTCCATAAAAGGACTTTGTTTCCTATACGAAAATGCACAATTTCTCTCTGCTATTGATTGTTTCACTGGAAGATTCTTTTTACTTGCAATTGCTTTTCTTTTTTGGGGGGAGGGGGAGGGGTCTGGTCGTGGGGCCTGAACTCTGGACCTGGGTGCTGTCCCTCAGCTGTTTAGCTCAAAGCTAGAGCTCTACCACTTGAGCCACAGCTTTTTTCTTTTTGCTTATGGATGCTGAGGAATCAAACCCAGGGCCTCAAGCATGCAAGGCAAGCACTCTACCACTGAGCCACCTTCCCAGGCAATTGCTTTTCTTCCTTTTGCTTTTTTTCCTTAATAATTTTTTTGGGGGGCTGGGTCGGTCGTAGGGCTTGAACTCTGGACTTGGACACTGTCCCTCAGCTCTTCAGTTCAAGGCAAGCGCTCTACCACTTGAGCTACAGTGCCCCTTCTGGTTTCCTGGTGGTTTATTGGAGATAAGAGTTTCATGGACTTTCCTGCCCAAGCTGGCTTTGAGCCGTGATCCTCAGATCTCAGCCTCTTCAGTAGCTAGGATTACAGTGTGAGCCACCGGCGCCCGGCTTAATATTCTTTTGTTTTCTTGAGGGGAAAAGTTTTATAATGCTTCCCAGGCTGGTCTCAAACAATTCTGGGCTTAAACCATCCTTTTACCTTAGCCTGGGACTACAGACACACATACCACACTCAACTGAAATTGCTTTAGAATTAATTGGCATAGTAAAGTAACACTAAAACTGTGATAAATTTACTGGTGTAAAGGAACAGCAAGTTGATTTTAAGCATGGCAGCACGCACCATTAAAGCACCATAAGGGAAAAAATGCAAAAATAGAAGACAGGATCCAAGCTCCCGCATTTAGTGATAGCATAGCTTTAGACAAGTTTCCCAACTTGAGAAAGCGCAGTTTCTCACATTTTTTCCCAGTGTTTCTTAAAAATAAAAGCATTAGGAATGTACATACATATAAATAAAAGTGTTAGGTATGTAAATAAAGCAAAAGTAAACAAATATAAAACAAATATAGAATACCAACCAAGTTGTTACTACCCTTATAATCACAGAAAGCTGTTAAACATATCTAATTAAGTAATAAGTAACAATCAGTAAGATAATGTGGAAGTTTTTCACAGAGAAAATATTTTATGTAGGAATTATTTTAAAATGAACCACCCAGGAGCCCACAATGCTAGGAAGTTTAAAATACCATAATGCCTACAGCATTTCACATCCATGAACTCATTTGTGTTAAAAATGAAATCGATATATTTTTTTTATAAAGGAATACATGTGTGCTGTCTCTTGATGTGAACCGAGTAGCACATTTTGAATGCTACATGTTCTAGCTTTGTAAATCATTTAAACACGAATTACTAATATTTAAAACCTCCCCTAGGTGATGTGATTACTTTTGACAACTGGCGCCTACTTCATGGTCGGCGTAGCTATGAGGCAGGAACGGAGATATCCCGCCATCTCGAAGGAGCATATGCTGACTGGGACGTGGTCATGTCCAGGCTTCGCATCCTAAGGCAGAAAGTCAAGAATGGGAACTGAATTTCGTGTCTTCTCATTTTAGCAAGAGACTAATGACTGTACTTCTGGGGCTATGGCATAGTTCTTCACTACAGTGACCTGTCTCATTTGAATATTAATTTCTTTGTCTTTAAGCTTGTAACTGCTGTCTCTGCTCTTTTCCTGTAGTCATACTTCAGTGTAAACTAGTTACCTGTTTAAAGCAGTGTGCTTCTTCCCCAAATAAAGCAATCCTTCTGTTCTGTTATATATGTGTTCTAATTTCCTTTGCCAAAACAGAAAATCCTGCAAAGTCCCTACACGTAGTTTTTGTATCAACTAAAAAATTTCTTCAGATAAAGATTTTTTGTATATAAGTTTATCTGATTTGGGGATGGGAAAAGGAATGACAGAAATGGTGAGACAGAGGGCAAAGTGTGAAGCAGTACAACAGTGATACTCACAAGACAATATGGTAGTGGAAGGGGAGTAGGGGGAAAGGGAAAGCAGGAGAAAAATGAAGGAAGGGGTAACAACGCTCAGCGAGAATTGTACTCATTTCCTTACTTATGTAACTATAACCTGTCTGTATATCACCTTTACAATAAAAAAGAATAGCACGTTGTTTTAAATAAAGTTTTCCATTCAAATAAAACTTGTTTCATAACATAGTTCTGCTTTGTGACCTTACAGAGACACATAGCTGTCACACAGGCCTGTGAAAAGACTTCATATTTTCCAAGATCTATTTTATTTACTCTTGTTATAAAATTCTAATACACAAGTTTCCAGACCTTACTAACTTGACCACCTTAACATTTTTGGTACTATCTAAATAATGAAAGCCAACACAAGCAAACAAAAATTATAAGAAACTCTAGTCTTCCTAAAATTCTCTTGTACCACCACCCCAAAAACAATATTCCCATGATATGCCACCCTCCTTGCTTACACCTGTTGATGGATCCTTTTTTTTTTCTTGTTTCTTGCCTTGAGCCAACATCTGAAAGAGAAAACCCAAGATGCCTATGGCACTCATGAATGGACAGATGTTTGCTAACCTGGACAGCTTCAGCTGCTGGTCTCAGCTCTCTCAAGGATACTTCCCCAGCTCAGTGGCAGAACGGGTGTCAGAAACAGTCACAGAGGTACCCATGGCAACAGGAAAGGTTTAGGATTACTATTTGCATATATCCTAGTGTACATAGATACTTTAGTCTGCAGAATTTTAGACTTAACACCCTGTTTCTTAAAGTCATAATCACTGACACCACTGCATAGTTCTAGCTTTTCCCTTAAGATCACATTTAAATGTTACTTGCATTCATGATTTACCACATGTTTCACACTTGAATTTTCTATAACTGGGAATCTGTATCAAGATCATCTTTATCCCATGCCAAGAAGCCCTTCTGACATGCTGAACTCTGGCATTAAATCCACATCTCCAGTCTAAACTTCTTCCCTTATAACATTGTCACTTTCTTGGACTTTCGTTGTCCTTTCCTGTCATCTGTAGTATATGACATGTTTGATTCCTTTGAACTTGAAAAGGATTTCCTCCAAGTCTTTCCATTTCCTAACAAATGAGGTGATATTCTTTCTGATGGAGGCAGAGAATTCCATTGTTTGATATTATATTTTCTTGATCCAGTCATCTACTGAGGGGCATCTGGGTTGGTTCCATATCTTAGCTATGGTAAATAATGCTGCGATAAACATAGTTGTGCTGGTAGCTTTAGTATGGTCTTGTTTATGATTATTTGGGTAAATACCCAAAAGTGGGATTGCTGGGTCATAGGGGAGCTCTATGTGGAGTCTTTTGAGGAACCTCCATACTGCTTTCCAAAGTGGCTGAACAAGTTTACACTCCCACCAACAATGCAATAGGGTTCCCTTCTGGCCACATCCCCTCTAGCATCTGTTTTTTATTAGAGTTCTTGATTATAGACATCCTAACTGGGGTGAGGTTGAATCTCAATGTTGTTTTGATTTGCATTTCTTTTATGGCTAGGGAAGTTTAGCATTTCTTCGTGTGTCTATTGGCCATTATTTCCTCTTCAGAGAAGTTTTTTAAGTCTTTAGCCCACTTATTTATTGGGCAGTTGTTTCTTTGAGGATTTGTTGTTGGGGGATTTTTTTTTTGAGTTCCAAGTATATTTTAGATATAAGGCACTTGTCTGTTGTATAGCTAGTGAAGATCTTCTCCAAGTCCATGGGCTTTCTATTGATCTTACTGGGTATATCCTTTGCCATTCAGAAGTTCTGCAGCTTCATGCAATCCCATTTGTCCAATCTTTCTTTGATTTGTTGTGTTTCTGGGTCTCTATTAAGAAAATTATATTAAGTGAAGTAAGCCAGGCCCAAAGAAACACAGGTCTCATAGTTTCCCTTATTTGCAATAACTAGTATATTTGTAGGACAAGTAGAAAAGGTCAAAAGCTATGTACATATGACCAGATAAGATGATGTTAAGCTAAAATGAACCCCAAGATAGGGACACGATTTTTTTTCTTTCTTGATATTGTTTATAACATATTTATAATGTACCATGTGATTTTTTTGTTTCTTTGTATGTTCCTCCCCCATGGTATAACTCCTGTTTTCACTGTATCTGATGTCGGTGCCCTGCATCTTGTATATACACTTCTCTAAAGGAAGGGGAAGGGGAAAAATGCTTAAATAGGGATACAGGTTGACCCATTGTAACAAGGTTGAAAACAAATTTTACAACTTTGGTGGTGGAGTGGGGTTGGAGGTGGGGTGGGAGGAAGAAAGGGGGTAGTTGTGGAGGTGGGAAGGAAGGGATGGTAGTGGAAAAACAAAGGAGAGGCAACAATGCTTGATAGTAAATGTACTCATTACCTTGCTCATGTAACTGTAACCTCTCTGTACAATATTTTTACAAAAGTGTACAAAAAAGGTTCTTAATCTCTCTAAAATGTTCCTAGAATAAAAAAATAAAATAATTGAGTTTCATAGGGACATGGCATGTTTCAAACTGACAACATTCAACATTTTTTAAAAAATTATTGCAATAACTGGGCATTCGTGGCTCACACTTGTGATCCTAGCTACTCAGGGGGCTGAGACCTGAAGATCACAATTTCAAAGCCAGCATTGGCAGGAAAGTCCATAAAACTCATATCTCCATTTAACCACCAGAAAACCAGAAGTGGCATTGTGGCTCAAAGTAGTAGAGCATTATCCTTAAGCAAAAGTGCTCAGGGACAACACCCAGGCCCTGAGTTCAAGCCCCATGGCCAACTCCCTAAAAGAAGACAATTACTGGAATAATACCAGCTCTATCTATTCATCACATCTAAACTCTGGGTAAATTCCAGGCTAAAGTCATATCATATTTTTATTTGACAGATATTTATCACACATCTTGTGTGTGTCAATCACTCTGATAGATTAAAGATTTAGAAGGACTTGAAAAGAAGTCATATGCTCCCTTATAGTCTATTAGGCAAATAGATGGGGTTGTAGGTAATGATGTACCATGTTTACAGAATGTTTCACAGGAAGGCGCCCAAACCAAACCGAAGATGCTAAGGAAAAGTTTCCGTCTGATTTGCATTATGAGGACTAGGAGTAGTTTTCCAGGCATAGTTCAGGAAAAAAATATCTTTACACATTAAAGAAAAGAAGTGAGAGTGAAGGGAACGTAGGGCATATTTTGAGTTACAAGTTGGAAAAAATAGACCCTGGCAGTGGTACAAATTGTAGAGTCAGATGCCAAGGTTCAAATCATATATAATCACAGTTAACTATGTGTCTTTGGATAAGTAGCTTTTCCTAGGAAGGTTGGTTTGTTTCTTCTCTATCTATAAATAAGATTAATAACAGCTTTTATTTCATTAAATTTTTCTTAGGATTACATGAAGGTTTATGTAGTGTTTTCTCCAATTTCTCAGATAACGAATTACACCAGTGGAGCTTTAAAAAAATGTGGCTTCCCAGATAATTCCCTAAAGATTGTGATTCAATAAGTCTGGGATACAGACCAGCAATTGTATTTTTAGCAAGGATCCCAGATGATATGCATCATTAGTAAAGTTTGGAAGATACTGAGATAACTATTAGCATACTTCCAGGCACAGGGTAAGTACTTAAGAGTTGTTAACTATTATTACTTAGAATAGCAAAGGCTGAAGAGGAAAAGTGTTCTGGTGAGAAGAGACAAATGAGACAGGAGAGGGAGTCAGAGCCAAGTTATGAAGTAATTAAATGCATGCTGTATTACATAGTTGGTATTTAATCTCAAAAGCTTGGGGATGCCTTTTAATGGTTTTTTTTAAGCAGTGAATTGCCTTAATCAGACATTAATTTCAAACATCAGTGTGGTTTTATTGAAGAAGGGATTCTAAGTGAGCAGGACAAAAACTACAAATCTATTGAGGAGGTTATTGTAAGAAGCCAGATGGAAGGATAAGAAGGATTGAATTAGACAATGGAAAGAGCCCGGATCAATGCTTAAAAGGCTAAATCTAGAGACTTGATCTATTTCAGGTAAAGAAGGAGGGATGTGTCTAGGATTTCTCTCAGGTCTTGTTAGGGAAATGGGTTGTATAGAGGGAAAGAAGTCATGACAGAAAAAATCATGGCAACTATTCAAATAGAAAACAATTTGGTTTTGAACAAACAGAACTTGAGTTGTCATTGCACAAGTCTGTTTGGCAGTCAGACATATCTGTACATAGAGCTCAAACAGAGATCTGACTTAGAGATCTACATTTAGAATGCCTACAGAAGGTAGATTCAATAATCACTTATTTACTTTGGGACATTTAGTAATATGCCCAAAGTCACAACCCTAATGATTTGATGATAAACTAATGATACTGGCCTAACTCATGGAATCTGCTGAACTGTAGAACACAGAGAATTAATGGGAACTTGTATCCAAAATTCAGATCAACTTCTTACATATCTATTCCAGGCCACATCTCCATATCCTTGCTGTTCCCTTCACGACTGCAAATATTTCTGCCCTGGAAAGGATACAGGAATATTGCGTGCTATTACAACAATTTCTAAGTGTTATACGTGACATGACATGTTATGGGCTAGGGCAGCTGGTGCTGACTAAACATAATTCATGTAAAGAATTGGTTTCTCCCTCTGCCACCCCCAAAGTCATATTAGATCTGATGTCATTTGGATTTGAATTTACCCCTGTTGGCAGTACAGATGCTTACTGCCTTCCATTTCTCTGATTTGACTTGGATAATGTGAGCTGCTTGGCTAGTTAATTGGAGTAAC